TGTTTGAAGATATTTTTTTCAGGTGTTAATTTTGTTAATAAAAGGTTTTCAGGTGAAAATAGCAACTTTGAGAAAAATAAATATTGAGGGGTAATTAAAATTTTCGCAACTTTAAAAAAATATATATTTTTAGAGTAATTAAAATTTTCATAACTGTTTTTTTTTTTTAATGTAAAAAAAAAAAATATTATAAAAATGACAACTAATAAATATATTGTTTTTTTTCTTTACATTTTTATTTTTATTTTTGATAAAAAAATGGTTGCTACCATCAATGTAACTGCATATATTAGTTCTTGCAAAAAAAATTCTGGAGGAACTTTATTATGGGGTGCAGGTATCTTTAAAGATGGACTAGATATATCAGTGGATTTTAATTTTAAAATTTTTCTTAATTCAGGTACACTATTTGTTGATGAATTTTTTGATGGAGATCTTGTTCATCTGTCTGGCAAATTTACATGGGAGAACAGTTCAGTTTATCATGCTGCAGGAATAATGGTATTTATTTTTTGTTTGTTATAAAACTTAAAACTGTCTTAAGTTAACAAGGTATAATTTTTTTTTATAGCTTATTGTAGACAAAGCTATAAGGTTTCCCAAATCCAACACAGGTAACTGGAGTATTGAAAAGATGCCAAGTTCACCACTATTTATTTCTTTTATTTGTCAAGTACTTCCAAATGAACAAAAAAATCCCCATGTTCTTCTTCGTGGAGAAACTCATTTTGTTGAAACTTCTTGTTTTCTATTTAGTAAAAATAAACCAAAGGAACATTTCTTTACAATCACATATAAATCGAATAATATTCATTTCAAGTCTTTGGTCTGGCACCTAGGAGCCTCCTATACAATTAATGGATTTTTAAAACAGATTTTAAAAATTGAAGAACAAGTTGTTTTTTTAATTGAAAGTATCTCAATAGATTATGTTGTAACACGTACAACAATTCCTGCAATTCAAAATAAACCATCTTCTAGAACCATACCCAACAATGATTTTGATGAATATATCAACTCCAAAAAACTTAAATTGTCATCTACCACCTTAACTTCAACTCCAAGTATCAGTACTTCAATAATTTCAAACACTGCATATTCATTACTTCCTTCAACCACTTTACCTATTATATTATCACCTCCACCACTCTCACCTCCATCACTTTCACCTCCTTCACTTTCTTCTACAATACCTTCTTTACCTACAACAACTCACTCATCTGTGTCACAATTACCAGGTGACAAATTTCATAATTTTTATTCTTCTTCTTATACATCTGAAAAAAGTAATAAGAAAAAAAAAAATACAAAAAGTATTAAAGGTGGTATAAAAAATATTGCCCTTTCAAAATTTGCAGAACCTGAAGAAGAAGAAGAAGAAATACCAAACCTTTCTCATAATATGTCAGGTCTTGAAGAATTTATTGAAATTGAGGAAGATTAGAACACTAAAAATTCCTTTAATAATAAAATTTTTAATTAAAATTATTCCTTTTTTTAATTAATGATTAAAATTATAATTTTTTATCACATTTATAATAAATAATATATGTATTAATTTCTTATTTTCTTTTAATAAATAAAAATTAATCATAATAAATTTTTGGTTTATTAATAAAATTTGTTTTTATTCTTTAATTAAAATTACAAAATTTACAGCTTGCTATTATTGATGAAATAAAAATATTAAACTACAATACCATCTTGAGATATAGTTTGAAACAAAGAAAGCAGAAGTTTTTTTTTAATACAGATATGATCAATAAAAAAAAATAATTTTTTTTTACCATTTGTTTATTGTATTCAGTGTAGAGAATTTTTTCTGTTTGTTCAACTATCTCATAACACTGGTCTTGCAGGATTACTCTTCAAAACCTATCTTGGCAATAAAAACATAATCGTAAATATCATTTGACATTTATTCCAAACAAACCAAAAACTAAGTGCAAAAAACTTAAATATGATGTCTCACCCTTAACAATCTCATAATGTGCCATAATCTTTGAAACATTCAAAAAAATTAACAGGTTGATGAAGAACGTTTCGCTTATCTGTCAACCTACAAAAAAAACAAAATAAAATAACATCGTCAAGAAGGTAAATTACTGCTGAAGTATTTAAAAGGTAGTCGAAATGAACAAATTGATGCAAAAAAAATTTAGCACAATATAATACAACCAAAGGAAAGATTTAACATAATGGAGTCTAGCCTTACAAAGAGCTTCGCTTTAAAACAAAAAAAAATCTGTCCTTTAAAAACAAAAATGTGTAGTCTCGCGAAAAAAAATAAAAAAAAATCGATTGAAAAAAAAAGAGATCGATGATCTGATCTTAAATCAACTTTTTTTCATCACCGCCTCTCAGATCACCTAAAGAGACATGCATATAAAATCATCGGAGGTTTTTTTTTCTATTTCAGGCATTAAGGAAAAGATTTTCGCGGCCGTTCCAAAGAAACTACCGGAATTTCTTGTGGACGCATGAAAAATCTTAATTCCAACGAGAATCCAAATACGAAATCACAAATCCAGCAAAAATAAACAACATTTTCCAAAAAAAAAAGGACCAACGGCGTGACATTTTCAAACCTAAACCCCTCCCCCAAACAGAGACCGCAAATTACCATGCCAGAACAACGATCAACAAAACTACACAAACACAGCCAATTATTCCCAAAACGGTATGAAAAAAAGACTCCGATAATTTTTGTTTTATGCTAAATAATTAATTAAAATAATAAACCTAAATTATTATAAAACATAGCATAGTAAATTTGGTTAAACAACTTATCATTTTTTTAATCACCTCAATCAATATAACCTGTTTTTCTGTTGTTATATAGTCAAACTAATTTGACCTAAAATTCAATCATTTATAATATTTTTTTCAATTAAAGTTATAAATAATATTACAATAAGTAATTTAAAACGTAAAAAGTAAAACTCAGTGTAGTTAATTTCGTATATTTCTGATCGAAAATAATTAGAAAAAATGATTATCTAAATTTGTTGGGATTCTCAAAGTGTATATAAATTATACAATAGTGCGATTAATCATTAATTTTTTTTCTTCAGAAATCTTTTCGTGCGACAAATTTGGGATTTTTATGATTCAAGATCATGATTAAATTTTTGAATTCTTGAATTCATTTCAAGTTTAAACGTTCCATATGACCGTTAAGATTATCTGCCATTTAACGACTTTTTTTGTTCGAAAAAAAGAAATTTACGAACATAAGAATTGTAAATGCAAAAATATTGTTTCTCTTTTACGGTATATTATTTATCCATCCATTTAATTCCTTCTGAATAGTTTTTAAAGAAAAATGGATGTATTATTAATGCGTGACAGTGATAAAATGATAGCTTTAAATTACGAGATTTACTTTTGTTTATTAATTTTTCAATTGTGTTATTTTTTTCAGCGTAGCGTAGTACAGTACATACAAACATGAATTCGTAAAAACCATTGTAATTGATAGTTCATGAGGATAACATTTTTTAAAAAAAAATTAGTAATAAGTCAGAAGAAAAACAAATGAGCAAATATAATAATTTTTTTTTTGAGATAAAATAATGATTTTATTTAATTTTTGTGATTATTATATATGGGTATATATATGTATATGTATATAAATAATTAAATTCCCACCCCACAAATAACATTTTTTATTTATTGTTGTTATTGCCAAATTATGGTTGCTGTTGTTTTTTCTCAAATTGTGGTTGCTATTGTTTTTCCCAAAATTGTGGTTGCAGTTTTTGAGGAATACTATTCATTTTATTATTAGTCTCGATTCCAAATTCTTTTGTTTGATATACTCGATTCTTTTCATCCTTATAAACTTTCCAAGAAAATCCTGTGGTAAAAGCAAATGAAATTAAAACCATCCATCCTAATATATTGGTAGTGATATAAGCATTACAAAGATGATACTCTGGACTCAAGGTACTACAATATCCTCGGTATACCAAACTGAGATTGGAGAATACTATTTTTTATAAATAAATTGAATATATATAATAAATTATATATTTTTCTGGTATGAATAATATTATTGACAACAATTGGCAACTTGAGAATAAATAAATTACCTTCGGTGATCCATAAAATTACAAAGGCACTAGATACGAATGCATAGAGTGGAAAAGCTTTAGTAAAAAAAAAAAAATATTGCGGACTAAAAATTGTAAGAAAGGAGTATACTTACGCATCGAATAACATAAAATAAATTTCTCTTCGCTTTTCCCAAATCTTTTTTTTAAACAATGCAATATATCCGACTATAAAAAAATGAGTACAACGTAAAAAAAATTTGAATAAATTTAATATAACATAATGAATGAAATTAATTAATTATAATGCTCACTAATACTAATTAATGTAATTAGATAAACGATGTAAACCCATATTAGCCAGCCTTTGCTATAGTTTTTTAATTGTTGAAGAATAATTAATTAGTTTATAAATTTTAATTCAAAATATTAAAGTCGCAATAATATTAATAATAATTTTAATTGTTCAATTGAAAATATGTTACTTAACAATACGTACCCATTAAAATATCTTCTATAAGATGCTTGATTTGGTTTACGGCTATAATTTCGAGAAGCAAAGGCGGTGATTTGCACGATTTCTATAAATATACAATGAATCGCGGTACAAAATTTACATTAAGACACGATGATGTAAAGAAAACTCAAGATAGAAAGTGAAATAAATACGATATAAACCTGTTATGATAATTGAAATAAGAAGTAATAATTGAACACTCTTTATATAGAGTAAATTTCTTTTAGGAAAACTCATCCTTTTATTTTTTTTGCTTCTTGTTCTCTTGGTTATTTTCAAAAAGAAATATGAATATATGTATTTCGTAGACTTAAATTAAAATAATTGAAATTAAAAAAATACAGATATTTAAAGGGCATTTAAGATTTTGTCATTAATTTATAGTTTAAAAATCAGGGTTAAATGTGACAGTTACCAAAATTAATAAAGGAAATTTCATAGATGATAAACAAACGTCGTGTAATATACTAAAAAAAAATACTCAAAAAAAGAATTTGTAAAAAAATATATTCTTTCATATTATATAAAAAAAACGACTTTACTATGTACGTGCGCGTTATTATTTTGTTTACTAAAAAACAAATATATAATGGTGTGGACCATAATGACCACAATTAAGTTCTTCAAATACGCCTGGTGAAATAAACTGATTTTTTTTTACGGGGTTTTATTATGTCGAAGCAGCTTTTTTTTTATTTCTATTATCCCTGAATTTTATTATAAAGTGATCGACAACGGTGCCGAATCGGTAACTAATTTATTCATTTTTCATTGTATTGTTAGATGATGATGAATAAGAATGGATATTCTCGATTGTTTTGTTCACACTTTATATAATCAAAAAACGTACAATATAAAAAATCAATAAAATATTCATTGAGTACCTTAATTTTGAATTTTATTTATAGCAAATGCAACAAAAATATTTACATTTTAATTTTGTTTATGTGCAATGCAACAAAAATATTTACAAGGTGCATATGCATATAACAAATGCAATGTATTTACATTTTAAGATATGAGTTAGTGATTTACCTAACAGATTTTCACCCACGTGAATTTTGGAATTTTATTGGCCCATTATTTAACATCGGGTGACAAAGCCATTCCCTCACTCTTGAGAAAACATTTCAACATTTTTACAAGAAAAAGTAAAAGAATTCAATTTGGAAGGTAAAATTACATGTATTGTAACTGATAATGGTTCCAATATGGTTAAGGCAATTAAATTGTGGGATGGAGTTGAACATTTACCATGTGCTTCTTACACATTGCAACTTTCTATTAATCATGCTTTTAAAAAATCAAATACTTATATTAAGTGTATTAAACAATTAGTTAAATTTTTTGCTAAATCACCAAAAATAAGTGAACATCTTGATAGGGCTCAAAAGGAGTGTAGATATCAAAACAATAATGATGATTTTGATAATAGTAGTGATGATAATAGTGATATTGAAGATAATAATGAAAACGAAGATGAAAACAATAACAATAATAATAATGATGAACCTATTTTACAAAATATAGCAGATGTTAAAACTCAATGGAACTCAAAATATTATTCATGGCAATGACTTTTTAAATCATGTAAAGTTATTGAGTGGTTAGGTACAACTTTTCCATTATCTGATAATTCAAATGATCATGCAGATAGTTACAAACTTAAAAATTTATTATTGAAACCTTATGAATGGAATTTGTTAAACCAAATTGTAGATTTATTGAAACCTTTTAATGATGCTACTACATATTTCAGTGGAACATCATATGCAACATTATCAATAATATTTCCTGTAATACTATAACGAATCTACTAATTTGTTTTAGAAAATAAATATCAACAAATATTTATTAGCGAAGTTTGTGGTTTATAATTAAATTAT